CTTTCCCTTCCTCGCCTTGATGCCTGTTGGAATTAGGCAATTTTCTCTCAAATGGATAAGGAGGGTTCCCTTAAAGGACTCTCTGATTTCAGATAAGGTAGGAAAGTTAGAGGTAGAATCTACCAGAGTATCCCAACCGGGGTGGGAAGATTACTGTTTTACAAGTAGGAGTGAAAAATGTAATGGCACGTAACTATTAAGGGGAGGTGGGCACCAGGGATGGGTTGTCAGTAAAAGATAAACATTTATTTCTTGGGGCAATTGTATAACTTACTCTATATAAGTGCTTAGTCTCTTTTTAATATTCTTCTGTCTTAAAGAAACGAGTTCAGCGTCTGACAAGTAAACAAGATTTAGAACCCTATGTCTCTGAGTGCAGAAAGCCTACATAGCCTAGTCTTTAGTGCCAAAAGATAGCCTAAACTCGGGAATTCCCTGACGGGACAGTGGTTAGGGCTCTGCGCTTCCACTGCAGGGGGTATGGGTTTGATCCCTGGTCTGGGAACTGAGATCCCACAAACTGCACAGTGCAACCAGAAAAAAAAAAAAAGATATCCTAACCTTGACTTGGGTAGGAGAAAGTACTGTAAATGGAGGGGACTTTATAGAGAAGAGAACTCAGTTTAAGGTAACTGGTTTGAAATGATGGCGCAGCTAGATGGCTACATGGTTTGGTATTGTTGGGGTAAACGGGTGTGTGCCCACCCACCCCATCCTACAAATCTAGAGAGGTAGAGTGACTGGTCCCCTCTAGTGGTGTGTGAGTGCGAGGGGGTGGTACATAATCTAAGGCAGGGTTTGTCTGTTACTCTTTTTTAAAAGTAGGCACTACTGACATTAGTGACTCATTGTGGCCTTTGGAAAGTCAATGACTACTCCTTTTCCTAGATGGGCCTCTAAAAAAGAATAAAGACATATTATTGTCTTGAACAAGGTTGGTGAAGTGGAAGCCAGGGTTTTGAGCTTGACTGCTACTCCCCTCCCCATCTTCTCACCCACCTTCTTCCCCTTCCCCACTTTTTTTTTTTTTGCCCTTAAAAATTCTTTTAACTGTAGACTTGGCTTATGGTTACCATATTTACTTAATATTCAATCAAGTACAGACTCTGAAGATAGAGTAAGATTCATCGTTTTGGCACATGTGTGACAGGCGTTTTCGCCTGAGGATATAAAGGTGAATAAGATACATGGCTCCTGCCTTTATGGAGCCTAGTTTGTACAGGGTACAGGTAGATAGTTGTATTCACTGTGATAAGAGAAGTACATGGAAGTTCATCCCATGGAAGTGCATAAAAGGGCACTTTATCTTTTTGGAATAAATTGCTACTTCAGTAAAATAATTAATTTTGCCATTTTTCATTTTGTGAAATGCTTCTAATCCAAAGAATTTTCTTATTGCTGAAAACAATTTGCAAACTCTAAAGTACTACACAGGCTATATTTGTTGTTATAGCTATGAAAATGCTATAAATTCCCCTAAAAGGCATGCTAAGCTAATTTGATTTGGCATTTGTCCCCTTGTCTGAATACTCAAATGACTCAGTAGTTACCTCTAACTGCAGGAAATGTGGCCGACAGTTGCTGCTTTCATTCTGGTATGCCGTATCTGTGTTCTGCCCATCAAGGAACCATCTTTTTATCATGAAAGGCAGAATCAGTTGTCAGATCTTTGATTTTTCCTGCCTCCATGCCAGTTGGATCCACATGTAAGCAATTATGCGAACATTCAATTAGGGAAAAATAAAGAAAGATATTTGTTGAATAATGATATGAGCTTTGATGTGAAGTGTTATAAAGTATCAGCTGAACTTTGAACAGTAGGAAAAAGAGAGAAAATTGCAAAAAGATCATGATCAGATATTGTCCAAAATGCAACCTCCAAGAATATTGAGGTTTATACGTATTCAGTCCAGTTATCCACTCCTACACCTGTTATAGTTAACAAATTATCAACCTTGTGGCTTTTAGTATTTTGTGATACCAAACATTAAAAATTATAAATTAGGGAATTCCCCAGTGGTCCAGTGGTTAGGACTCTGTGCTTTCACTCCTGTGGCCCGGGTTCATTCTCTGGTTGGGCAACTAAGATCCTGCAAGCTGCAGGGCATGGCCAAAATTTAAAAAAAAATTTTTTTAATAATAGATTAATTTTTACTATACTTATTAGTACTGAAAAGCTAATTAATGCATTTTAGAAAGCCTTTAAAAAGCTAGAGTGACTACCTGCAAGAGTTACAAGAACAGTGAATTTGTAGGGGTGGGAGTTGGGGAGCCAGGTATTAATTGAATCACCTGCTATGTTTCACAGTATGCATACATTGTTTCATATAACCCTCTCTAAAACTTTTGAAGTAAGTTCTTTCATCTTTGTTGTATTTACGAGAAGAGGAGGGTCACAAAAACATCTTGATGAACAGCATATAGCTAATGAATGGCATAACCAGGGTTTAAATGCAGTTCCAGAAAGCTCTGTATGAATAGAAAGCTTTTTTTTTCTATTGTACCATACTATTTCCTGAGAATCTTAAAACCTGAAGGCAGGTCACTTTACCTTTCTGTATCTTGCAGTTTCTCATCTTAGATATATGAAGATTGGAATAGATAGTCTCAAAGATTCTTTCCAGCTTTAATTTTCAGTTAAACTATAGAAAGGATTTCTGAATATGACTTGACTTTCTATTTTAACCGGTACATCCCCTTCTCCCTTTGATTGCAAGAGGTATATAGTCAGAGAGTGGTTCCAGGATTTAAATTTCATAGTAACAGAGTAGGTAAAGAATGAAAAATCATTCTCTCCAAAGAGTCTTAACATTCCAAATGTGGGTTAGTGCAATCAGATCAGCTATGAGGGAAGGTAAGATCCTATAATGCAAGCCTTGAATTGCTGCCTCAAAATGGAGGTTATTTTCCTTTGTGTAACTAGAGTTCTTTTTCTTAGCAGATCCAATTTGCTGACCAGAAGCAAGAATTCAACAAACGTCCCACCAAAATTGGACGTCGCTCTCTGTCTCGCTCCATTTCTCAGTCATCTACTGACAGCTATAGCTCAGGTGAGGACTGAACGGCTATGGACCCACTTGTGGAGGCTACTTAAGTGAGATCAATGGACCCTCCTGTCTATCCCAGCCTAATTAAGCATGATCAAACCTATGTTTTGGTATAAACACTTTGATTCTCTGGAAATTTGGACCAAAATTCTGGATGGAATCTTTGGATTCCTGTTGGGGATTCAGAGTGGAGCTTAATAGAGGCTTCCTCTTCCAATAAAGGCAGAAGAGGGTGATTAAGGAAATTGAGCTCTGACTTATTCAGAGGGTGAGAGTATGTTGCTCACTGATGACCTTCACTGAGCGGCATGTATGAAGACTTGTGTTTTTTCCATTCTTTGAAAATAAAAGAGGGGTTCCCCATACATCCATCTGGGAAACCTTAATTGCCCCGAGAAACAGTGAAATCATTGTAGCTAGTTCAAGTGAGCCCTTTGCCTTCTCTTCTAAGCTGTGACATTGTATTGTCTGTTACTCCTTCCTTCCTGGCAGTGGCATTAATTCCAATATATGGGCCCTGAGCTTGAGTCATCATTTAATGCCAGATGAATATTAACATGTGAGACCTTTTGTCAGCATTGACCATTTGTTTTTTGTTTGTTTGTTTTGTTTTGTTTTTATAACATCTTTATTGGAGTATAATTGCTTTACAATGTTGTGTTAGTTTCTGCTGTATAACAAAGTGAATCTGCTATATGCATACGTATATCCCCATATCCCCTCCCTCTTGCGTCTCCCTCCCACCCTCCCTATCCCACCCCTCTAGTTGGCCACAAAGCACCGAGCTGATCTTCCTGTGCTATGCAGCTGCTTCCCACTAGCTATTGACCATTTGTTCAACAGTGGCCAGTATACGTCTGATCTAATATGGAGCTATTTTATTTTGCTCTTATGTAGGAATGTGGTAGGAAGCTGAGTGTTTATCCTAGTTACCTCTTCACATTATAAATAGAACATTCATTAGAGAATTTTCATCTTGACCTGAAATTTTGTTTTTCACACAAATAGGAAAGTAGTGTTTGTTATGTAAAGTTGAAGAAAGCTTGTTTGAGACACTGTAACTTTTAGATTGGGTAGACTGTTATTTACACTTTTTACATTTCTTGTTTTACATTTCCCCCACAATCACATAATGTAAATCCCTAGGGATTTTTGTCTAAAGATACCGAATTTTGTACTTATTCTGTTAAAATAACCAGCTGAATAATAAATAATTAAATTAAATAAATAATTTTCAATAACTTGAAAATTGACGAACCAGTTACTATAACTCTGGAAAGTATAATAATTGTGCAAATGTGAATTGTAAAAGAGTGTGTACATTTTAGACTCTTGAGTTTGTGCATGTTATCTGAAGATTGATAACTAAATGATCATAGTACTAAAATTTAACTTAAGCTCAATCTCTTCCCTACACACTGGGCCCACATTTCCAACTATGTTCCTGCAGAGAAAACCAATGCCTGCCTTCCCACAGAAGTCCCCTATGCAGGGAGGGTACTTACAAAATCTCTATTTACCCAGAAGAGTGGGTTTGATGCCTTTGAACACGTAGTTGCCTGGTATAGCTCATTGGTGAGTGATATTGACTGATGTCACCACCCTGCATAGATTGGACCTTTTAGGTTGAACTATGTGAAACTGCCATTTCTATAGTAAAAAAAATTATCAACCTTATATATCCATTTAAGGGCACTGAGTTTGGGAGTGTGGAGTCGAAACATCCTGGACTTGGAAAATAACTTAAAGATCAATTATTCAGCTTCCCATTGGATGCTGGAATTGCCTTGATAGCATCCCTGACAAATGGCCATCTGGCCTCTTTGGGAGCATTTTAGATCATAGGGTGATCCTTGCTTGATCTAGTAATTTAGCTCCCAATAAGCTCTTATACAATCCCTAAAATTTAAAGATTTTATTTAGAAAAAAAAAAATCACCATATTTGGCTGCCTGATTTGGAGGGCATCCTACTGTCCTGGTTAACCTCATCTGGATATATTCCAGATTGTGTCCTTCTAAAAATATTATGCCTGTGAATATAATATTCTTGGTATGGTCCAAAATAATCTATAGTAGGTGTTATTTCCATAAACTCAATGCTTTTCAAATGAAACCTAAGATTATGTTTGCACCTGTGTCACACACACTGTTACCTTCTCTTGTTTCCACATGAGCAACTGTCAAACCCTTTTAAACAGATTGTGGGGGCTTCCCTGGTGGCGCAGTGGTTGAGGGTCCGCCTGCCGATGCAGGGGACATGGGTTCGTGCCCCGGTCTGGGAAGATCCCACATGCCGCGGAGCGGCTAGGCCCGTGAGCCATGGCCGCTGAGCCTGCGCGTCCAGAGCCTGTGCTCCGCACCTGGAGAGGCCACACCAGTGAGAGGCCCGCGCACCGCAAAAAAAGCAAAAAACAAAACAGACTGTGAATGGAGATGCCTACTGCCTATAGTCTTGGACCGGGAGTTAGGAGAGACCTAGTTTCTAGGCTTTGATCGGTGTGTGATTTGTTGTGGGATCCTGGAAAACTCTGACAGTCTGAAATGCTCATAACAGAGGCAATGGGAAAGTTATATGAGGTAACACAGAAAAAGCTCCATACTCATCAAATGAAAAGCCAGGAATAACAAAATTACAGCTTTCTAAATATGAGAAGATATGCAAATGCATGTCAGTAAGAACTTGGAACCCATTTTCAACATATGTTTGTTATATTTTAATTGACTATAGAAATTAATATTGTTAGAGCCCCAAAGACTGATCCCTGGACTTCTTCCCTTCTGTGTTTATCTCTTCCCAAGGGAACTCATTAAGTCTCATAGTTTTAAATACCATATATTGGTGTTTGATTCTCAAATTTTATCTCTAGCCCAAATCTTTCCTCTGCACCCTAGCCCCAGATATTCAACTACCTGCTCAGTCCTTTCACTTGGATGTTCTATAGGCATCTCAGCTCTCCCATGTCTTAAAAACTGAATTGCTGAGTTCCAACCTTGCTCCTCTTCAGTCTATTCTCAATGCTGCAGCCAGATTCATTTTTTAAAAATAAGTCAGATCGTATCACTTCTTAGCCCCAGACCCTCCAATGGCTTCCCAGTCTCGCTCTGAGTAGGAGCTAAAGTTCTCACAATGGCATACAAGACCCTATACCATCCACCCTCACATTATATTTCTAATCACATCTCTAATTTCCCAAACTTTCCTCCTCCCCTGGCTATTTTGTTCACTCCAGTCGTGCTATCCTACTAACTGTTATTTTGAAACATGCCACGCATTCTCCTGCCTTAAGGCCTTTGCACTTGCTATTTCCTCTGCCTAGAATGCTCTAGGATACCCTCACTGGGTATCTTGCCTCCTTAGGATCTTAACCAAAGATCACCTTCTCACTGAGACCTATCCTCTTTTAAAATTGTACAGACACCCCACACCTATCAAATTTTTCTCCTTTATTTTTATCCATAGCACTTATTATCATATAGCATATAATTTATTGTTGTCTTTCTTCCCTTACTTGAATATGAGATCCATGAGAGCAGAGATTTTTATCTCTTTGGTATGGCTCTACTCCCACCACTTAGAACTGTGTTTGACACATAAGAGGTGCTCAGTAAATACATATTGGGGAAAGGTGTCCAGAGACATTCTTATTATACGACTTTACACCCCTGTAAAGGAGTATACACCTCTGATACACTTTCTGTATGTGAAGAGTTAGAAGGTTTATGACATTTCAAAAAAAGATACCTTCCTGTCCAAAGTGCTTGTTTTGCTGAAGATACTTAGAGTCTTACTTAGGCTGTGGCGTACTCTCCCTTCCTAATGATCCTAATACTAAGTTTTGCCGTGCTTTTATTTAGGAACCTCTTCTGGCCTTTTCAACCAGGTTCCTCCTGGGAATCACAGAACACAGAAAAGGATGGTTCTTCAAAGGATGGATCATAACTAGTACCCTGCTAGATGCAGAGGAGAGACGTTAATTCATATATTCAGTGGCTGCTCCAAGACCTTAGGGCTTAATGGAACCCAGACTGAAAGGGGCTACATCAATCCTTGAAATTATTTTATAAAAAACAAACTTCTAAAAACTCTTTCTCTAAGCACAAAACCCTTAAAAACAAATGAATAGAAGAGACTTTTCTTCAAAGTCAGATCATTCTCAGTGATATATTTCTGAAAATGCTGTCTTTGCAGTAAGTTAATTGGTTAAGGATAAGGAAAGAGGACTAAAGTTCCTTAGTTCATAATTGGTTCTTATAAAGCTTGAAGTATTTTCAGATTTTTCCAAATAACAAAGTTTTGTTTGTCTATATTTTGGTTGCTAACATAGCTTTTCACATATTTCTAGAGTGTTATCAATGAAATCTGCTGCACATTGTCACACAGGTCATTACTGTTATTCCATTACCAAATGAATAGATTGGGTCCAAGAGGAATTGCCTGACTTAAAATAGTCTGATAGGACTAATTCAGCCAGAAGTCTGACTGCTTCTTCTCCTAGCAATAACCCACAATATCACAGCTTCTAGGAGGTAAGGCTTAATCAGGCTTGAGCCATAGAACATATGTATGACAGTTCCATGGGGTAGATTGTGGATTAGTGATTCACCAAATTATGTTTTGATTCTGAGATACCATGAAACAAGAGAACATCCCATGATAGAGTTATTTTGTACTTTGTATTACTTTTCTACCTAGAAATTGAACCCTTTTTTTTGTGATTATCTCATTTATTCATAAGATTTTTCTGGTGGGAGTTAGGGGAAAGGGAGAGCATGGGGAGAGAGAGGATCTATTATACTCCCTATTTTATGGTTGGATAAATTGAAAATTGGTCACTTAACCAATTAGAGGTGAAGCTAGAGCTGAGGTCTCAGACTTGTACTTAAGTAGGTGATTGTCTTGATTATCGGTTGTTCATTTTTAACTAAATTATGACTCTGGGCTTCATAATGTGCTGACAATTACAAACACTTTAGAAACTGTTCAAGCATATATATATATATGTTGGGTTTCTCTAAATTTTCCTAGGAAGAATTTTTAATTCAATCTCAGCTATTTTCATGAATATGCTACTTTAAATATAGTGGCAGAAATGAGTTATGGATTTAAAAAAAATGTTATGTTAGTTCAGGAATAATCTTTCCACTGTGTTTGCAACAATAACATTCTCTTGGTCTAAGTGTGTCAGCCATTTTGCATTCACATATTAGTACAGTCTAGACAACTGATACTTTTGGATCTCACTTGATAACAGGTCTGTATAAAGGGCTCTTTGAAAACAAATCCATTTTGGCTCAAAGAAAAAGATTGGTTGAACTAACTATAACCAGTTGACTACTGTTAAGAAAAGAAAATACAGTTCTTTCCCTTTAGAAAGGGGGAGTAGTATAAATAATTTTTTTCTTTGAGTTGGAAGAAAACCAAAAATTTGAGTACTTCTCTTAAGGAGAATTTTAGGGGGTTTTGTTGTTTGGTTGGCTTTTTTCCCCTGACTCATCCTTAAAAGCTGAAGAGGCATAGGGAGAGGAGAGCTAATCTGGGTAGAGTTAGGACTCCAGTCTCAACCTTTTTCATCACTGCCAGCCAATCACCTGCTGCTTGGGTAGATTAATAGATGACGAAGGTAGAGAAAAAAAGAAACTGCTAAATAATATTGTATGTATGTCATTCCTTTCCCATTCAAAATCCTAAAGCTAAGTAAGAACCCTTAAAGATGTTATATTTGGTATTGAATTAAAAATATGTACAAAAAACAGTAATAATACCAGGTATCATTTACTGAGTGCTTAATTACTTTATGTCAGCATTGCACTAAGCACTTTATGTACATTATTTTATTTAATCTTCTCAACAACTTGATTCTGACAAATCATGTCTGCATATTATATAGTCTGCTTCATAGCACATATTACAGCCATATAGAAAGAAAAGCTCTAAATAATTAATTCTGTAATTGGTTATTTCATGTCTGACTCACCTACTAGACTGAAAATCCCATGAAGGCAAAGACAATCAATATCCGTCCTGTATCCCCAGCACTTAGACTGTGCCTGGTACATAGTAGATGCACAATAAAATTCATTGAATGAACAACTGAATGTGTGAATGACTGAATACATGAATGAATTAACAACCCTATGAAAAAGGTTCTGGTATCACCTCTACTTTATACCCAGAAGCAGAGACTGAGACTTCAACCAAAATCTCTCTGACTCCAGAACACTTAACCACTGTATTTAAATGGTCATTAGGGAGCATAAAAATCATGGCTCTGGAAGAGGATTTGAAATTTCAGGATACTCTGAATGTGAAGACTTTCTTCAAAAGCAACTTTTCTATAAATTTGGATCAGGATTAGGATGGCTGTTATCTTTCTTCTCTCAGGTGATAGAAGCATGGTTCCCCTAAGCCTCCGACTCATAAGCCATTTCTGAGTATTGATTGGTGAAACAGGTGACTGCCCAGGAAACTGTTTCTGGGCTCTGTTGCCAAAGGTACTTTGAGCTCTCACTCACCCTAGGAGGGAGAACCATAGACTTTTTGTACAGATTATCTCCTTTCAAGAACAAAAGTCCCTTTGGGGATTTATTAATTCCCCCACCTCCCCTGGTGCTCATGTTCTTTCTTGTTGCCTCGTGTTAGAACTTTGCTCTAGGGCAGTTTTCCAGCTCCAAGAGAGACACTCGGGCCCCTGCTGCCCAAACATTTTGTAGCACCATGCTTGATTAACTGGGCAAGGTCAGACTTGCCTTTTACAGCCCTCCCAGAGATAGACCCTTTGCTAAGAAATCCCAGAAATGCCTTAATTCTCTGGATATAAGTAGATCAGGAGACCCTAGGAGCTCTGAGCTTTTGCAGCTTTCTCCCCTTAAAAATGACAGAAGTACTTATCTCATTGAGAAATATATAATGCTTTATAGACAGTGCTTTGTGTCCCCAACCTTCCTCCCCCCAAAACCTTGAGGACTGCTTAGGAAGAAACTATCCTCAGGAACTTAAACATAAATCAAAGAAAGAGATTACTTCAAATCATCCAGCAAATGATTAGCAGCTACAGAATTATATGAAGACTAAAAAGACCTCAGTCAAACATGGGAATGGCAGCAGCCGTAGCTGCCTATTAGCCACAATCAAAAGTCGTAGACCTTCCACCCCAGTGTATGTTGCTAAATGGATTAGTCATCAGAGCATTTAATTATACTGAAAGAGGATTTATCTGCTTCTCTGGGAATCTAAAATGCCTAATGCAGGACCCACTGAGGCCAGCAAGAAGGGAGAGCACACTGAATACTTCATTGTCAGTGTCTAATTGGGTCTGCAGGCATAGTTCAGCCTCATCAGAGCCAGTCTTAAAAAAGAGAGCTCTGTTTTGTCAGACAAACACTTTTTGTGTGGTTCTTAATTACTTTCCCATGGGTTCCGTGTTTTCTAGGTCTTATCTGTTCAGTTACTGTACTGAAACACAAATTACATCAGGTGTTTAAGCAGCAAGCAGAGAAGGGTAGCTAGGATCCCAGAAACCCATAGGTTAATCACCATGATCATGCATTAAGAACTTGAACCTATTGCTACAATGGTATAACCTCTCTCTTTTTTCATTTTCAAGGACTTCTGTATGTTCTGAAGATAAAGTTAGCCTTAGATTCCAAGTTAATGCTACCCAGGGGGAATGTCTTTGGCAACATCTCTCAGCTTCCTCTTTCTGGCCTGTGGATAGCACTTTCCATGGGTGGTGATTGAGACAGCTCCTTGGTGCCACTTTGGTGCTTACCAAATGTGTACATTTACAAGGTGCTTGATTACTAGAAAAGCCTCAGTTCACTCCACGGTTTGGAGTTTTAGAGGAAGCCATTTTTTCCCCTAAAGGTATTTTATTCTGTCATTCCAGCTGCTTCATATACAGATAGCTCTGATGATGAGACATCTCCCAGGGACAAGCAGCAAAAGAACTCTAAGGGAAGCAGTGACTTCTGTGTCAAGAACATCAAACAGGCGGAGTTTGGACGAAGAGAAATTGAAATTGCTGAACAAGGTAAGGAAAATAAACACCTTTTCCTCTCAAGCTGCCTGTGTCTTTCTGTCCATGTTAATTCCTTCTTACATCCTGGGGTCTAGTAGTTTGTGAAATTTCAGTGTGATTTTGAAGAATACTTATAACAAAAGAAATATGGGCTCAGGAAACACTTGGGGAGGGAGTAAACTCTACAGGATCTAGAAGGAACAAGGAAGAGGGGGAGAGAGACTAGATAAGGGGGACTGGGATATAGGGAATTAAACATTGGACCATTTACCTCTGGAAGTCTCTTATAACCGAAAAATCAAGTTTAATGTTTTGATCCCCTGAGAAACTTAATCTAACAGAGAACCTGTTTGGGGAAGGATCTTATCTTAAGAGAGTACGTTTCTCTGTTATTCTTTACCTCTCATCCCTCCTCTCTAAAATTGCTGCGTGTGTATTGGGCCTTTTCAGAAATGCCGGCACTGATGGCTTTAAGGAAGAGAGCTCAAGGAGAGAAACCTTTGGCCGGAGCCAAAATTGTGGGTTGCACACACATCACTGCTCAGACTGCTGTGAGTCCTTTTCCTTTCTCTACATAACAATAGTTAATAACAGCCACCAGCTATTGAGGGCTGGCACCATGCCAAGCACTAGTTCGGAGCTTAACAAGTGCTCATTAACCCTCATAATGGCCACGTAAAAGCACATATTCCTGTTTCCATTTTATAAATGAGGAAGCTGAAGCTCAGGGAGTTTAAGTAATTTGTCCAAGGTTATACAGCTAGTAAACCACAGAATCGAGATTTAAACTTCAATATATCTGATTCCCAAGCTTATTCTTTCTCCAGTCTTCTCTACTGCTTCCCTTTATCTTCCCTTCCAGTGTCATTTCTACACAGCACCTCTGTGTTAGGCTGCTTTCAGCTGCAAATAAGAGAAAACCTGATTCAACCTGGATTGTACATAAGGGAATTCATGACATTACATAGCTAGAAGTCCAGAGGTAAGGTGGACTTCAGATGAAGGCTCTCAGGGCTCAGTTTCATCTATCTGTGATTTTCTTGGAGCTGCCTCCTCTCTGTGCTTACTTCATCCTCAGGCTGATAGCAAGATGGTTACAGCTCTTTAAGCCATCCCAGACTGACATGAAGAGGAGGAAGGACCATTTCTTCCTCTCTCCCAAGAGCAAGGAAACCTTTCCCAGAAGTCCTCCAGGGTACTCTGTCATGACACTGAGCAGAACTGGATCACATGCTCATGCCCCACCAGTCCTGGCAAAGGAACTGGGGTTACCATGATTGGTTTAGATCCGTAATTTTCACCCCTGTCAGATTCACTGACCCCTTTTGATTAAAAAATATGTTTTGCAACGGCCCAGTATTTTCTTGAAATGAAATTCAGATATAGCATAGCTAGGTACATATAATTTTTTAAAAATAAATGTAAAATCTTACTGAAATATGAAGGAAGAATAAAAGGAAAGCAATTTATAATAAAATAATGTGTATTTCAATATGTAAGTGCTTGGGTACAAGTAGAGTTGAATAGTCAGATATTTGTACTTACTTATAGCATTATTTGAATGTGAGTGCTACAAATGTATATACATAGAAATGTGTTACTGGTTCCATAGCATCAGAGAAATATTGCCAAATCATATAATTTTCTGAAATTATAAACAACTTTTTGTAAATTTCTGAATAACAACAGTATCAAAAATATGAGTTTTCTCTTGGTTTATGCACTTGTTGCATTCTTGGAAAAACTATTATTGTTTTGTATTAAAACTACAACAATACCTTTGTTGATATGTAAAGTGGAATAAAGTTCTAAACTCAGGTAATTATAAATAGATTTCTCACTCATGTGAACTTTTCATTGGAACACTTGAAAATTATACCAGATATGCCATGGTTTTTTTGTTCTAGGAGACTGTCCTACACTTTTGAAATGTCAAGATCCCTGGCCCTACCCACTAAATGCTAGTAATACTCTCCTACCAATTACTGTGACAACCAAAAATGCCCCCACGGTTTTCCAAAGTTCCTCTGCTGAGAACCACTGACTTAGAGTTGTCATCATCAAAGATGTGATACATATTAAGTTGCCAACCGTAATGAGACCACTACAGGAAATCAGTGTATTAAGAAATTGTCTGGACTTTTTTATGGGATTTATAAGATCCAGGTCATTTGTATGACTAGATCTCTTCCAAAAGATTGTCTTGTAAGCACAACACTATGTGGCCACATTCCTTATTCAGAATAGCAGAGATTCCTCAAGACACAGCTACTGTTAGCATCTTCCCTGTGAGACTTTTCTGGGTTATGTGTTCTCTGAGGAAAAGGATACTTTGGTACCCCAAAATTAGTATAATAAATTGAAAAGCTATCACTTTTTGGAGCTATAGACTAATGAATCAAGGCAGAAACACTCTTGGAACCTTTTTTGGGCTTCCCCAGTCAGGGACATGAGACTTCAGTGTGGTGGCTTAAAATAGTTAGTGCTTCTGTACTGTCTCATGTTGCTAAATTACATCTAGTTTCTTTTTTACCCCCTGGCTCATAAACATTACCACTCTTCAAGGTTACTTTCTTTTTTTTCCTGAATGGAGTAATCAAAATTAGTTTACCAATTTTAATATTATTTTATTGTTCCCTCCCCACATTTTTCTGTTTCCTTTAAAAAAAATAATTACAAAGGAATTTTGCTTTGTTTTTTTAACCTCTATTTTATTTTTCTGAGTACAAAAGTAATTCATGTTCATTTTACAATATTCAAGCATTACCACAATCTACAATGTAGAAAGACAAAGTCTGCTATAATCCCATGCTTCAGAAATAGCTATCGTAGTTAACAGTTTCCTGTCCAGTCCATGTTTCTAATAGACTTGTATCTAAATATTTATAATTTTTAGGTGTGTTTCCATAGTTCCTTCCAACCAGATTCCTTAGCTACTCTCTCTAAACAGTAATGATTTAAAGTCAAGTTAAACCAGCTTCTGAGCTCTGTCCTTCTCCCATTTCTATCTGCCTTCACTTCCGCTTGAGCCCTAATAGCCAGCAGTCTTGACTCATAGTTCTTTAAATAGTTCTTATATTCTTGGTCCCAGTCACTTTTCTAGTTAATTTATATTGCTTTGTAGGTAAGTCTCAGTATCATTCTCTTGTTTGGCACGTTGAGGAATCCTAGTTATAGAAATTCAGAAATTCTTTAAGGTGAAAATTAAAACAGGATAGAAGAAAATTGGGTTGGATATTGAAAGGTAAAGAAATTAAGATATAAGAGTAGTTCTGCTGTGGCCTTTGACGAATTATGTGAGAGAGTTAGCCTAGTGGAGTTGTTTGCACGTATTTTTTTTTTAATTAGAGCATATTTTTAATTAGGATTTGTATTTTGTATATAAATATTAGAAAATACAAATTTTTTAAAATGAAAATCATCAGTACCCAAAGTTAAGCACTGTCAGGAAATTTTAAAACAAACTTTGTCACCAAAGATTTGTCCATGTTAAAAGAGCTCTTAATCGAAGCAGTAGGGTGGTACATTACCTTCTCTTTTTTTTTAATATTTATTCATTTATTTATTTGGCTGCATGGGGTCTTAGTTGCGGTATGCGGGATCTTCGTTGCAGTGTGCGGGATCTTTAGTTGAGGCATGTGGGATCTTTTTAGTTGCGGCATGTGGGATCTTTTTAGTGGTGGCATGTGGGATCTAGTTCCCTGACCGGAGATTGAACCTGGGCCCCCTCCATTGGGAATGCAGTCTTAACCATTGGACCACCAGGGAAGTCCCTATACTACCTTCTTATAAAGAAGCCTATCTCCATCTTACAAACTGAAGTGAAAGCAAGTCAGGATCAAATCAGTGGATTAAATTTATTTTAATAATTTTTAAAAATTTGAAATACACACAGATATATAGAAAAGTTGCAAATACAGTACAGATAACTTTTTTTTCTGAACCATTGAAGAGTAAGTTGCCAACCTCATGATGCTCCCACAAATACCTTAGTGTATATTTTCTACAAACAAGAACATTCTCCTGTCCAACCAGTACAACCATTCAAAATTGGGAAATTAACATTGAGTCATTATTGCCATCTAATTCTCAGGTTCCATTTGAGCTTCACTAATTGTCCCAATAATACTTTTTTATAACCAAAGGATCCTGTCCATAGTTATGTGTCTCATTTAATTGTTATCTCTCTAGTCTCCTGCAGTGCTGGATAGTTCATCAGTCTTTCCTTGACTTTCATGACCTTGACACTTTGAAGATTATAGACAAATTATTCTGTAGTATGTCCTTAGTACGTAGAAAATGATGCTGTGCCTTTTTCATTTAATCCTATCAGATGGCACTTGTTTTCGATTTGTCCCATAACTGATGTTCATTTTGATCCCTTGATGGAGGTGGTGTCTGCCAGACTTTTCTAGGGTAAAAGTTATTTTTCCCCTTTTGTAATTAATAAGTATTTTATGAGGTAGTAATAGGAAACTGTGTAAATATCCCATTCTTCATCAAACTTTCCAATTATTCATTCATTTATGTATTTTTATTTGTGTGGAGTCATTGTTTCCTATTTTATTTAATGGGTTATAATCCATTACTATCATTATTTATTATGATAAAAATTGTTCCAATTTTGGCCAAGAGGAACCCCTGAAGTCTTGCTTCTGTGCCTTGTCTCTTGACATATCCCCTTCATTCTTTGAGCACTTCCTTGCTTCTGGTACAAGATGATCTAAGCTCATTTTGTACCTTCCCTGTCCTATCCCTGGAATCAGCCATTTCTCCAAGGAGCCCTGGTTCCTTCTCCGTTTAGTGGATCTGTACACTAGTGTACTCTTTGCTATTGGGATATCATTGTTCCTGGATCCTCTTTCATTAATTTTCAAAAATAATTGCCCATTAACTCTTCATATATATCTTTTGCCCTGTTCTCTCCTTCTGTAAATTAGGCCATTGATAGTATCCCATAGATCTTAGATGCTCTCTTCTGATTTTTTCCCCCACTCTTTTTTCTTTCTCTATTTCAGTTTGGTGATTTCTGTTGATCAATCTTCAAGTTCACTGACTCTATCCCTAGATGTGCCCAGTCTGGTGATAAGCCTAATGAAAGAATTCTTAAATCTGATCCTTAAAAAAAAAAAAAAAATTCTGACATTTCTATTTGACTTGTTTTTATAGTTTCCATCTCTCTGCTGAAATTCCCTACCTGTTCATGGATGTTGTCCATCTTTTTCACTACACCCCTTAGCATAAATGTATTCATCATAGTTAATTGAAAGTTCCTGTCTGATCAAACATCTATCTCATCTCAGAGTCTGGTTCTCTTGAATACTTTCCTGACAATGGGTTGGGGTGTTTTTTTCACTTTTTTTGGCGTGCCTTGCAATTTTACATTGAATGGTAGTATATTATTTTCCATTATTGTCATGAATTGGGCTGGATTTCAATTCTGTTGTTCCATACCAAAGGCTACAAATTCCCCCAGGCTGGACTCTCGTACTCCTCAGTGTTTGCACTTCACCTTCGGGCTTTCAGCCGCTTCTGCACATGCTTGCCACAGGGGGGCTCTGTCTTCAAGTGCATGTCCCCGCTGCAGCACGCCACTGCTGTGGGGTTCTTAGATTTTCTGGTCCAGCCTCGGTGTTAGGCAGGCCTCTGTGAAGGTAGGACTTTTTCAGTGTTCCTGCCACTCCTCTCTGTAGCAGCCAAATTTTGCCTTGTATTGGTGGTAGGTCTTGAGCAGAGATATTTTCCTGTCCCTCCTGGAGAGGTAGCAGATTTTTACTTTGTATCAATGTAGGGTCCTGGGCCCAAGAGGATTTTCTGCTACTCCCCCAGGAGCAGAGAGATTTTGCTTCCACTCTTCCCCAGAAGCAATGGCTCTTTGCCTGGTCCCTGGTGGCAGGCATAATTCCTGCTCCTCTTGCTACAGTTTAAGGCTTTTGCTTCCTATGAAAGAAGACTGTGGAGAAATGCTGAGGTTTCATGCTTATCTTTGAGCACAGCCAATCAGCTCCCTGCCCCCAATCTTTCTTGTGAGCCCTGGTTGGAAGCCCCTGGAAAAGAGCTTGCTTGCATGTGAGTATGAACTCTCCTTGTGCCTGGGGCTACCAGAAGTTCCAAACTGACATACTTTCCCACACTCAGCCTTTACTAATTCATTAAAATTTTAGCTTATTTTTTCTTACCGTGATGTATGGCAGCCACCTCTTCCTTCTGTGCTCTGACAAGGGTGAAACAGTGTTCCCTCTCTCCTTAAAGGGATTTGTTGCTCTTTGGAGTTCCTTGGTTGCATTATGACCTCAGCTCTTTGATGTACTCAAGAAAAGTTATGGTTTTGTAGATTATCCAGCTTTTTCTTGTTAAGGTGGAAGCTTCTCTTGCAGCTTTCTACATCCTAAGGAGAAGCAGAGCTATAAATTTGTGGTTTTTAAAAAGATGTTTGGCACTGAAAGCCTTGGTTTAATTAAATCTTACAGGGAGGCCCAATATGTTAAATGAGTAAAAGCATACAGCTCAGCTGGAGCCTTCCCCATGCCTACCCCCAACCCTTGCCCTCTTCTCAAAGTATTGAAGTTTCTGTAAAGCACAGTTTGAAAATCATGGGCGTTAGTTATTCCTAGTGTACTTTCTCATTGTCAAATATATAAACTTAATCTCTTGACCAGTTGTTTGGCCCATGCTTGCTCATCTCCTGCTTTCTCTTTAATATAGGTGCTTATGGAAACTCTGGGTGCTCTGGGGGCACAGTGCCGATGGGCTGCCTGCAATATCTATTCCACTCTCAATGAAGTGGCTGCTGCTCTAGCAGAAAATGGTAAGATCTTTTGTGTGTTCTCTTTGTCTTTGACTAAAGTTTCCAAAAAGTTCCATTGTTTCAATAAATATCTGTAAGGAAAGTTGACGTTTAAAGTTGTCTTGAAAGAAATATTCTTTTTTTTTTTTTTAGTTGAAGTATAGTTGATGTACAATGTTGTGTTTGTTTCAGGTGTACAATAAAGTGATTCATTGTATATGTGTATCTATATCTATATATCTATCTATATCTATATATCTATCTTTTATTCAATTCTTTTCCACTATAGATTATCATAAGATATTGAATGTAGTTCCTTATGCTATACAGTAAATTCTTGTTGTTTACCTATTTTATATATGGTAGTGTGTATCTGTTAATCTCCCCCTTCCCCTTTGGTAACCATAAGTTTCTTTTCTGTGTCTGTGAGTCTTTCTGTTTCGTAAATAAGTTCATTTATACTATTTTTTTAGATTCCGCATATAAGATATCATGTAATATTTGGCTCTCTCTGACTTAATCCACTTAGTATGATAATCTCTAGGTCCATCCATGTTGCTGCAAATGGCATTATTTCATTCTTTTTTGTGGCTGAGTAATATTCCATTGTATGTATACACCATACCATACACCTTCTTTATCCATTCATCTGTTGATGGACACTTAGGTTGCTTACATGTCTTGATGGGTCCCTATTCTTGATGAGTTTGCCCTCTTTCTGGGCCTCTCTTGTTAAATATGATCGAGGTAACTGTGTTGCTTTACAGTCACAAATATCTTCTTATGTCTAATATTCCATTATTAGTTAATGCTTTGCCTTGTCAGAGCACCAGTGAACCTTATTCACTGTCTAAGGTCATATGGATTAGAAAAGAAAATGCTTCAGGCATAATTTTGTGGTCCGACTGGTTTTCAGCAGTTAATGTTTGGCGCTCTGCTTCAGCGGTAAACAGGACTTGACCTGGCAGATTAATATTTGATAACAACAGCCACTGACACTTGAAGGACAAAAGAAATAGAGAAGTTTGGACTTTGCCAGTTTCTTGCCTTCGCTCTCTGATAGCCCAACACAGATCAGGATACCAAACACTTGCTTCAGAGCTATTGAGAAATTCTGGGAAAGCTCTATAGTACATGCATACCTCTCTTTTTGCAGGCACTTTGAGCATTTTATTTGTTCTTTCATTTACAGTCATTCATTTGTAAAATTTTTATTAATGTATAAAATATGTATAGAAAGTACACATATATAAATATATAGTCCAATTAATTGTACAAATACATTCATTTCTCTTTTTTTTTTCAACAAATGCTTATTGACCTACTTTAAGGGCAAATGAGAGTGTCTTTGCCCTCAGAATCTTATATTGTGGTTAAGGAGAAAAGACACATATATAAATAATGATAATACAAGGGCATATATGATAATGCCACAACAGATCATAAACCCACATTTAGTATACCAACAAGGGGCTTATAAAAGTTCAGATTCCATGTGAGATCACTTTCAGCTGAGTTATAAGGCTTCCTTAGGAACATGATACTTAACTGGGCAATGAAGTGTAACAACATTTGAACAGAGGGAGAAGAGTGTAAGAGTTTTCCTGATGCAGAGGATGGGATGACTAAAGTATAGAAACAAGAAAGATCAAAATGTAGTTGGGGGCTTCCCTGGTGGCGCAGTGCTTGAGAGTCCGCCTGCCGATGCAGGGGACGCGGGGTCGTGCCCCGGTCCGGGAAGATCCCACCTGCCGCGGAGCGGCTGGGCCCGTGAGCCATGGCCGCTGAGCCTGCGCGTCCGGAGCCTGTGCTCCGCAACGGGAGAGGCCACAGCAGTGAGAGGCCTGTGTACCGCAAAAAACAAACAAACAAAAATGTAGTTGGGAAGTGATGAGAATTCCAGTTGGACTGGATGAAGCAGTACATATTTCTGGTTTCTTCTTTTTTGCCTTTAGTCATACTTTTAGCATCCGTCATACTCTTGGCCCTTTTGTTTGTCCTCTTTGGTCTAACAAGAGTGAAATGACCGACAAAGGTGAGTATAAAAGGACTGAAGACAATACTAATCAGTGAAGAAAGTCAACCCAAGAAGTATAGCAGAACGAGAGAGCTTGGAATTGGGGAAAACCAGCATCTTCTTGCCAAAATTTAGGGTCAGCCCTTTTTTCAGGCTTTAATTGTTTCTCTTTGTTCTTTTTTCTCAGGATTTCCTGTGTTTGCCTGGAAAGGAGAGTCAGAAGATGACTTCTGGTGGTGCATTGATAGATGTGTGAATGTGGAGGGCTGGCAGCCAAACATGGTGGGTTAGATCTCTGCCAACACAATTCTGTTGGGGCCTGGAGGTATAGAGAGGGAGAGTGGTCTGGGAGAGGGTTTCCCAGCAGGAAGGAAGGCAAATGCTTCCTTTTCCGTCTGATGTACCTGGGCTTCCGGCAGAACTAGATGCTTATGCTTAGGGCATCCCAAGAATATTCAACCTCTTTATAGCCTCAAAGTGCTTTTCATTGTCAGTGCTGATCTCAGAAGCACTCATATTCATCAGCAACATTAAAATACTGCTCAGGGTTCACACATGACTGGTTAAAAAGTAAGATTAATGAGTTACCATCCCCTACCACTGCTTACCACCCCCCCAACCCCCCACCCA